CCTACCATTACAATCATTACAATCTTGGCCTGCCGAGGTGTGGTGCGTCGCCGAACTGGTGGAGGCCAACGAGCTCCACCTGCGACAGGTTCCTTTGGGGGCCCGGGGAGATAGCGAGACCCCTCGAAGTCTGAGATTCAAATCTTAAGACGCATAACGTAGCAAGCTGTAGTACATTATATAATATGGTTTGTTATATTACAATGTAGTACAGTACCCCGGCTTCTCTAGGGCTCGGGCAGCAGGCGGTGAAGATGCACTCAGCGGCCTCGCGAGATCGATGTCTGGAGACGCTCCTCCGCATCGACGTACGGGCCGCAGAAGCCTCCTTCCCCGCCGACAAGGCCGGTTTAAGAAAGCTGGGGTTTAGGGCTTAGGGATAGGGTTTAGGCTTATGGGAGTGGGATTAGATTCAGAAGAACATGGATCCTGTGGCAGCTTTCGCTTCCTGCGCTCTCTGAAGGGCTCCAGGCTCCCAAATGGAAGAGCCTCGAAACTCGCTAGAGGGCTGGAAGACTTCCTATAGTATAATATAGTATAGTATGGTATAATGTGATGCAGTATAGTATAACACAATAAGTATAGTACAATGATTCGAAGCTTTGCCAGGAGCTGGTCTTGAGCAAGATCTGCGATGCGGAGGGCTTCAACGAGCGGCTGCAAGACTTGATGCTGCACCGCTTGGAAGGTTTCTTGCAGACGAGCAGAGCACGAACAGCAGCGGCTTTATGTGATGAAGTGGTTCTGGCGGCAGTGAATGTCGTCATCTAGCCAGCATGTTTTTAAAAGCTGTTTCACGGGCTGCGAACTCGATTGACGATAATTCATCGTCTGGGTGTCCGGGGGCCGTGCCTGAACGCCGAAGGCGATTTGCGGCCCTTTTCGCAAGTCGCAGTGCGCCGAGCGTCGGCATCGGAAAGGATCTTGTGCTTTGAGCCTACAAATTTGAGTAAGCAGGAAGCAACTCCAGAGGTGTCCGGCAGCCCACAGGAACCTGCTGAGAAACCCTCGTTTTCCTTAACATCTGGTAGTGAGTACGCACTCTGACCGGTGGCTTAGCCCGTAGGCTTCCTTTTCTTTGTTTCTCTTGTGTAGCTTGCGCTTTCCGGACCAATCGCGACAGTATAGTTCTTGCGTGTCTTGGATCACTTGCACCGGACCGAGTTGCGGCAGCAGCTGCCATGACGCAAAACATGTAGGTAGGACGTATATACTTTATGTTATGAACACGAAGCTGCTTCTCACGTTGATTTTACCGGACGGCCATTGGCTTGTCAAACGTTACGGTTTTGGGTGTAGACTGGGGCGGGCTTGTGGTTTAGGGGCTTCGGACATAGGGCTGCAAGGATGTAGAATTCATTGAAGTCGATGGCAAAGCCGCTCTTGGTAAATCATTGCAATGGTTGGCTCGAATGACACTTCAGGCAGCAACATGAATGGGAAGAAAACCGTACCGTATACGACCGATGGATTTAATATCTCCCATGAAGTGTCTTCAACCGTAGCGAAACTTAACAATCAACTTCGATTAAAGCTACTATCCCGCAGAAATGGCCAATTCGACTGAGGCGCGGCAGAAACGAAGGGTTTAGAACTGGAAACATGACATGCTCCAATTGTTTTCAGGTGACAGCTTGGATCAGCCATTTGTCTCGTTGGATGCCTGCTGGAAAGGTCGAAGCATGTTTGATGATCCCCCGCGAACGGTTTCAGGGACTTCCGCCCAACGTAGATACCATGTTGCAGGTTTAACATGATCGAGCCATACGTGCCCGCCTCTCAGGCGGAGAAGAGGGAAACCAAGTCTTTCAAGGCCCGGCCTTCCGGCTTCATCTCTAAGGGTTGCAGAAGTTATGCGGCAGCACAGAGCAAGTTGTCAAATCAGAAAGCCGAGTCAGGTTATCCGGTACGCAGTTATGGGATGCTTACATACGATGTTGCCAGCTATTCTACTCTGATCGGTTTCAGTCTACAATGCTATCTTATGTACTACTACGTGATAAATGTCATTTCGAGTATCTGAGCTTCCACAGCATACCTGGATGCTCACGCCGAGGCCTGGCAGCCACAGTTTGTAGCTGTTGAGCTGCAACTCCTGAGAGGCATTGCTTCGAGTCCAGATCTAGATGATGTGGTCATCATCAGCAGACTGACTAGATGCTATGACGAGAACGGAAATTTGAAAGGTCCCGGCATTGTCGAATGGCTGTTTTTTTGGCTGCTGTTGCCCTTGATGTTGTGGTTATCGTCTGTTCTCGTTCAATCAAGGACATGGTGATTTTCTCCGGACAGTGCCGGGGGGCATTCCAAGGATCTGAAGCGTTACTAGCAGCATGTCATTGCCATATATGCCGAAGCCTCACACCAAGCTTGCAGGTGAGCTACTTCTCATGCTGCAACTGGTGCTGCTCCGTCTTAGACACCCGGCTTCAACAGATGACCAGGGCTCAGGGTTTTCAGTTTAAGTGCTAGGGTGCTGGTGCATGCCTCGACAAACACAGCAGTGCACAATTGCCATGGCATGGCTGCGGCGACACCAAAGACGCACGGTCGTGTTCAGAAACTGGCATTGCCAACAGCGGTCGCAGAAGAAGTAGCAGTACTAGCGGTTACTAGCAGCCAGGCGTGTGTAAGCAGGGATGTAGCAGATCTAGGGCCCAAATCGTGGACCTTCAAGCACAAACTGAACCCACCAATCCCAACCCCTAAATCTTGACGCTCAAGAACCCAAAGCTCAAAGCTTCAACCCTTGATGGCATTGCAGCTCTTCAATGCTTGCAGCATCAGAATGAGATCAAATGAATACACACATAGCGAACAATACCAGTTTATGCATAAGTTGATGTGCATGTGTATGTTTGTGCACGTATGAACAAAAGCAATGTATACATATGCATACTTACAGCAACCCATGCCAGTCATGAAATATGTATATATGCAAACACACGCATGCACACAGATTTAAATATGGCTATACACATATATATATATATATTTATGTATATATATATATATATTTACATACATATACATACACGTATGTATGTATGTATGTATGTATGTATGTATGTATGTACATATATATACATACATATATATATATATGCTAGCCCCCCTCCTGGACCAACCTTTCACATGAAATC